CTTCCTCTAGCAATTTTTCATCACATCCTTTTTTTTTTTTTTTTGAGACAGAGTCTCGCTTGTTGACCAGGCTAGAGTGAGTGCCGTGGAGTAAGCCACCGCACCCGGCTTATTCAAGGTGTTTTTTAAAAGGTGATTGCATAACAGTGTGTAAACAAATGATCTTTTTTTGTTTAAAAGGATGTTAGGAGGCAGGTACTGATACAGATCCCCTGTATTACTAAGTATGTGTTGGTGCATTCATGGATAAAGATCAAAGATGTACCAGGATGTCACCGATGGTCATTTCTATGGGAGTTTTGGAATGTGAATGCTGTGGGAAACTTGCCTTTGCTGTTTGCTTAGAATTCTTTTAATGAGATTTTGGTACATTTGTATTTTAGAAAAAGGACTTTCAAAATCAATCATAATGAAAGATAACAGTAAATCTTTTTGCCCCAAATATTACATTGATTATATAGAAATATATAAATTAAGGAAAAATGAGCAAAATTAGATTCACAGTGGGGCACTGTCTTTCAAGGATCATAGTGACAAAAGTAGATATAAAAGATTTAGATAATATAGTAAGATTGATGATGAATTTTTTATTGTAAAGAGGATATATATTCTTTTTAAATGTTTCTGGAATTTTTTTTTATTACAATTTCCAAGAATTTCAAAAACCTGAACAAAATTCCATATTCTCTGATTACAAATGCAATAAAATGGGAATTAACTCCAGAAATGTAAAACAAACTTATACAAATTATTCCATATGGCTATCACTGTTGGTTCTCCTTTTTTTGTGTGTTGGTGTGTGTGCCCAGAAAGAAATATTTTTACACTATTAACCTTGGCGTTTATATTCCAGAGCAGAAGTAAACATTAGTGAAGTTACAGCATTTGCTTACATTTTCTATTTTGATATAGGTGGAAGACACATTTCAGAAGGGTCAGGAAAAAGACAAAGAGGATCCTGACTCAAGATCGGATATTAAGGGAGAAGATAATGCCATTGAGATGTCAGAAGACTTTGATGGGAAAATGCATGATGGGGAGCTTGAAGAACAAGGTTTGAGTTTATAAATCATCGCTTCATTCTTGTTTTTGAAAACATAAATGCTTTATCTAGGTAATTACACGTTCCCAATATGGAGCCTATTGTAATCTTTTGAAACAAGTTTGTTATTCTGCTTAACTGCAACTGAAAACCTCAGCAGCTGTGTGTGCTGTCACCATCTGCACCAAGCCAGAAGTCCATAATCTGTTGCAGCGATTCCTCTCCTGACTAAACCGAGCCGCGGACTGGTGTTCTTGCTGGCTGCAGGGGCTCATGGTGCCCTTGAGGGAAGCCTGAAAGAACAAAGTGATGATCACTATCAGAACTAGCTTCTCAAGGAAGAGCACATTGTTCTGGGTCATTTTTTAACAATAACTTTTTCCCCTAATTATAAAAACAGTAGATGTTTGTTTTAGATTATTTGGAACAAAAATGTAGGAAAGAAATAGATCCCCCTTAGGCCTGCCACCCAAACCACCTAATAAATTTTGGTATAGTTCTTTCTATTTATTGCAAACATTTTCACACAGACCTTGTACAGTTCTATAGTCTGCTTTTTTCATTTAACATCTTACAAACATTCCTATTGTCATTAAAGATTAAGAATATAATTTCTGACAGCACATCATCATCTGTAATATGTTTGTACCATAATTCAGCTTTTGCCCTACATTTCGTCCAAAGTTTAATCTAAGAACAGCATCTTATTCTCAGTGAAGATCTTGCAGAAATGAAAGCTGACCTTAGAGAAGAATGTACACTTGCTTAACGTTTAGCAAAGTAGACCTCAAGTAAAGACAAAGGCATAAAAATTCTGATCAATTGAGCTAGACCTGATTTTCAGTGTTGGGTAAAATCATAGAAGTCAGTATGTTGGAGATAGGGGAGGACCCATGGAGATCACCTAGTCCAACCCCATCATTTCACAGATATGAAACTAAAGCCCAGGGAGGTTGCTGAGTCCCATACATAGGTATTTCCCCCAGCACCAGAAACAGACATCCTGACAGCTATTTTACCATCTTCTTACTATCTGTTTACGCATCAGAGACTTCCTTTTTCCTCCAAACAATTTGCAAAACACAGGACTACTTGAGTAGACTTAAAAGCATCTGCCCACAGGGTGTTCTGTAGAAACTGAGTAAATCCCAGGTGGGCCCTTGCTGGGGAAGTGGTTCCATGCCTCTTTTATATACATGGGCCTGGGCCAGTTTGCAGGTCTGCCTAACTAAGCTCAGTGCCTTCCCTTTCAGAACAGGATGATGAGAAATCAGATATTGAGGGCGGAGACCTGGATAAACAGATGGGCGATCTCAATGGTGAGGAAGCTGACAAACTAGATGAGAGGCTTTGGGGTGATGACGATGAGGAAGATGAGGAGGAAGAAGACAGTAAAACTGAAGAAACAGGACCAGGAATGGATGAGGTAATTAAAAGATTCCCCCCGCCTTCCCAAAGCCCCCAAGCTGAGAAGAGGTAATCTTCCCTCCATCTACCACTCCCTGTCATTTATTGATCCTCTTTTTCCACCTTTCTTCTCTTCCACCTTTCTTTCTTCTCTTCCACCTTTCTTTTTCCACCTTTCTTCTCTTTCTTCCATCCCTCTTTTTTCTTTTTTCTATCCTACCTCATTGATTGTATTCAGAACTATAAAAGAGTAGCCTGACCTCAGCCATCCCATGTGTTATGTAGGAAGGAGGTTAAGAAGACTCAGTGTAGGTTCTCTACACTGATTTTACTGATGGCTCTGAATTTCTCCAGCTCCCATCTTAGGAGAGCACTGGGGCTGAGTCCAACACTGAAGCAGCACAGTGTGATGCATCTAATTATCAAACCCCTGTCACCATTTACGCGCCTGCTGTTACTGCTGCTGTCTGGGAGACTGGGGCTGTTCTCTCCAGGTCATGGACGGCACCCCGTTGGCAGATACTTTCATAGGATGGGCCCGATAGACAGAAATTATACATGTCTAGGAGTTTGACTAGCGAGAGTCATCTATGTGAAAGCAGTTTCTCGGATTGAGTGTGACAACTTTGTGTTTTTTATTCCTCTGACATTTAGGAAGAATCTGAACTTGTTGCTAAAGATGACAACTTGGATGCTAGGAATTCGAACAAAGATAAAAACCAGCAAGATAAGAAGGAACAAAAGGAAGAAGCAGAAGCTGATGATGGTGGACAAGGCCCAGATAAAATTAATGAACAAATAGATGAGGTAATGAGGATTTGAAACTGATTGGCTCTCCTGACGCTAGGACAGGGCCACTGCACTGTGTAGTTCCTGGGGTGTCTCAAGGCATTTTCCCCCTATTCATTTATTGTTTTCCCATTGCCTCATAAAAGAAAGTGCAACAGAGGCTCTTTTTTTTTTTTTTTTTTTTTGAGACAGAGTCTCGCTTTGTTGCCCAGGCTAGAGTGAGTGCCGTGGCATCAGCCTAGCTCACAGCAGCCTCAAACTCCTGGGCTCAAGCAATCCTTCTGCCTCAGCCTCCTGAGTAGCTGGGACTACAGGCATGCACCACCATGCCCGGCTAATTTTTTCCATATATATTAGTTGGCCAATTAATTTCTTTCTATTTATAGTAGAGATAGGGTCTCGCTCCTGCTCAGGCTGGTTTCAAACTCCTGACCTCAAGCAATCTGCCCGCCTCCGCCTCCCAGAGTGCTAGGATTACAGGCATGAGCCACCGCACCTGGCCAGCAACAGAGGCTCTTAACGGGACATAAAAGATCTAACTCATCATTACTGATGAGGTGGTGTGTGTTGTTTGGGCTCATGCTGTAGTTTGGAAGCTAAAACCTCTGGTACTTTTCTTTATTCTTATAAGCATCTCATAAGTTTTTTTGAGATTAAAAAACCTGTACAGAAAATGAAGTTTGAAATTCTAACATGAAAGCTCTAAAAATATTATTAAAATACTAATGTGTGCTTGTAACTTTAGGGAAGAGACATTGTATTCGCTCAGCATAGTATAAATACTTAGAGCTAAGTGAATTCTGCTTTTAAAAAAAAAGTTTGTTTTTCCCCTGTTCTCTCCAATGTCCCAGAGTGAATATGATGAGAATGAGGTAGACCCTTACCATGGCAATCAGGAAAAGCTGCCAGAACCTGAGGCCTTGGACCTTCCAGATGACTTGAACCTTGATAGTGAAGACAAGAATGGCAGTGAGGACACAGACAATGAAGAAGGAGAAGGTGCATCTTCCCAAAAGGACCAGTTGGAACTCACTGAAAATGAGCAGTAACTGATTTCTCTTTAGAGAGCTAGCCCAGTGTCATGGCCATGTCATAAGTTGTGTTTGGTTAGGTCAGCCCCAGTTTGAGAAAACTGTTTCCTTAGTAGTGTTTCTCATGTGAGTAGGCCTATAGGTATGTCTCTGTGGTGTCACTTCCTGTCCTGTGTTTTGGCACTTCTGTGCCCAAGGTGGTGTTTCACACATAGTGCGATCTCTCCACAGCCATTGCTGAGTATACCCAGGCCTCTCATGGAGCCCAGGTACAACTTTTTTAGGGAAATGATGGTTTCAGGTTTTCGTGTGTTCATTTGTTTGTTTTTCTTGAGAGAGAGTCTCGCTCTGCCACCCTGGTTAGAGTGCCAAAGCATCAGCCTAGCTCACAGCAACCTCAAACTCAATGAAACTTTTAAAAATAAGATTGTTTCTATTTGAATGTGTGCTGTATTTTCAGTATGTGATAAATAATGACACCTACCAAGTATCATTCACTATGACAACTGAGCATTAAACTGTCACTTTCTGTCTTTGGTATAAATTTTCCTATTGTGGATTTTTTTTGTTTTTTCTTTTTTTTTTTAAAGTGGATTACTTATTTTTTAACAAAATGTGCCATTGAAATAATAGTATGTAATATATGAATATGGGTTAGAACAAGGGTAAATAAACTTTTTCTCTGAAGTGTCAAATAATAAATATTTCAGGCACTATAAACCATAAGCTCAGTTCAACTGCTATAGTATAAAAGTAGCCATAGGCAGTATAAATGGATAGGGTAAGCATATCATATGTTAATAGGTAAGAGAATATATATGGCTGTGTTCTAGTAAATCTTTATTTACAGATACATGTGGAGGGCCTGATCTGGCCTGTGGGTCACAGTTCGTCAAACCCTGGTTTACAGAACAATAAAAAAAACACTTGCCAGCTACCTCCTAGCTTAAGAAACAATGTAAGTTTTTAAAATTCTGTGTTCTTTCTTCTTATATCTATCCAGAGGAAAATCCTTTGGAGATAAAAGAAAAACCAATGGATTCAAAAGAAGCAGATCATGAAGCTGAGGAAAGAAATGAAGAGACCGAGGCTGACCAGAGTGAAGGTCAAAGTCCACATGAGCCTCAGGAAGGCCCCAGTGAAGATGACAAGATGGAAGGGGAGGAGGAGATGGACACAGGAGCTGACAACCAAGACGAAGACACTGCTGAACTTCCTGAAGAAAACTCAGAGGAGCAGCAGCAGTCTCTGGAGGAAGAGGACAGGGAAGCTGAAGAAGAAGGTGGAGAGAGTGATGTCCCTGTTGACCAAGGTTTCCAGCCCCAGGTATTGTGGGATGTCTGGCTTTTCTTATGTTAAAAATGAGGAGGAGGAGGAGAAATGCACATATTCCCACTAGACTCTGTTTTAGGGTACTTCACCACCACCAGGTGGTGCTGCCAAGGATTTTTAAGTTTCTGTTTTAAGACTCTCTCTGGTTGATGCCCTCCCTACAGACTCCCCTTGGTGAGGAGTAGGGGGCCTGCTTACTGCAGGGACCCCCCCCCCCAACACACACACACACCTATGAGTCTCAGAGTATTTAATGTTGTGTTTGACTTCTGCAGAAGCAGGAAGAAGGGGAAGTCTCTGACACAGAGGAGCAGGTGCCAGAGGCTACAGAGAGGAAGGAGCATGCCTCCTGCGGGCAGACTGGCGTAGAGAACGTGCAGAGCACGCAGGCCGTGGAGCTGGCTGGGGCTGCGCCCGAGAAGGAGCCGGGGAAAGAGGTGATGGGCCCTCACTGCAGTGGATGGCTGCCTCCCAGGAGCCATCTTCTCCCTGTGTGAAGTCACATTCTGTTGAGCAGTAGTTGGTTTATGTTTGATGTTTTGTTTTGTTGTTGTTGACTTCTAGATTGCATTTCATCCTTTGAGAAAATGATTGTACAGCCGTGTTAATGATGGAAATACATTATTAAAAATGTTAGGCAGTTTCATCATTGAGGGAACATTATAGAGTGTGTTTACATAAACCCAGGTGGTATAGCCTGTTGCTCCTAGGCTACAAACCTGCACATTAGTGAACACTGTAGCCAATTGTAACACACGGTGGGAAGTATTTGTGTATCTAAACGCATCTAAACATAGAAAGGGCACAGTTAAAATATGGTATTATAATTTCATGGGACTGCTGTTGTATATGCAGTCCGTTATGTGGTGCATGACAATATCTGTTTTTATATGCCTCCCAGGGCAAACCCCAGAATATTTGCTACAGGCTACATTTAAGTGATGTGCATAAGAAAATGTTATTAGACTGGTAGTTCTCAATGGGAAAATCAGGTTCATGTTTTTCAAAAAGCCCCCAAGAAAGAAAAGGTTGGATTTAGACTTCATACGGTGTATGCCTCTATTGGTACTTTGCTTTTCCTTGCTCATCACCAGGCTTCTAAATATTTTAATTTAAAAAGCAAAGCACTTTTTCCCTGACCTGGTGGCAATGTGTTCTGATATGGCCATTATTCAAGTTGTTGAGTGCTATAGAAAGGAGAATGTCAGAGAGGACCTGCTAGCCACCTGGGTGATTCTGGACAACTCCTTTAGCCTCTCTGAGCTATATTTTTTATACACCACCACCACCATGATCATTTATTGAGCACCCATTAAGTCCTAAACATTTTCATTACTTTAGCAAAAGTCTTCAATATCCCACAATATCCCGTGGAATAGATGATATTGTTCTATTTTCTCCATTATATGTTTGAGGAAAATAAGCCTTAGTAAAGTTAAATGACGACCTCAGGGGTGTACAGCCTGATGAAGCCTGGTTTCTAATAGAGGTCTGTCCTGCCTTTGGGGTGATACATTCTTTCCATAGACAAGGGACTAATAACCCTTGCAAAGTGAAGGCCACTTAGAGGGTAGCATAGTTGTGTATCAAGATGTTCCTATTTCTGCTCATAGGCCAGGCCTTAGTCATGGGTGAGTTCCAGAGTAGGCAGGAGTGATCATATGGTTCTCAGATGAGAATAAGGATGAGAGACATTGTGCTCTGTGCAGCACAGTGACCAGGTGCTTGTGATAGCTCCCTCACCTCATTCTTTTGTGGCTTCGATTTCCTAGGAACATGGAAGTGGAGCTGCAGATGCAAACCAGGCAGAAGGTCATGAATCCAACTTCATTGCCCGGTTGGCCTCCCAGAAACACACCAGGAAAAACACACAGGTTTCTATCACTCCTTAACTAAACTTAGGTGCAGGTTGCGTATAGAAAAAGATGCTTTAAATGTAGTGGTTTTTTTTAAAAAAAGCTGTCCCACCAGAAGTGGTGGCAGCCTTGGTGAGCAGACCCTGGACTATTGGGTTTTCTCGATGGAATCCTTCACTGGGGCTTCTTCCCCACACCCTCACCCTGTTCCTGCTGCGGAACCTAAGAGCCAGGTGCTGTGTGCTGCTGCCAGTGCCAACCAGTCTTACTCTTTCCACTGTTCGTTGTCTTTTGCTTTTTAAAATTTGTTTGCTTAGCAGGGTATAATTTATGCACATAATAAAAATAAGTATATAAAAACCAATCCTCTAAAAAGCCTACATATTCTATCCCTGTCCTCATGCAATGCAAGGGACTTCCCCAGGTCAAATTGGTGCTGCCAGTTTTTTCTTCTTTCAGAGATATTTTCTGCATGTATACTGTGTGGATGTATGTGTGTGTAAGGGTGTCTTTCTTTGCTTCCTTGCCTTTGTTTTATTTTATTTTATTTTATATTATATTTTATTTTATTTTTTAGTTGGTCGATTAATTTCTTTCTATTTATAGTAGAGATGGGGTCTCAGCTCTTGCTTGCTCAGGCTGGTTTCAAACTCCTGACCTTGAGCAATCCGCCTGCCTCGGCCTCCCAGAGTGCTAGGATTACAGGCATGAGCCACCGCGCCCAGCCCTTGCCTTTATTTTAGATATAGAGATTGTTCTATATGAGTATATACAAGCCCTATTCTTTTTAATATCTACTTTGAATTCCATTATTGTATGGCTATACTTAAGTTACTTAACCTGTCCCTGGACTTCATGGTTATTTATGGACTTTTCCCACAGAGTTTTAAGAGGAAACCTGGGGAGGCTGACAATGAACGCTCCATGGGTGATCACAATGAGCGCGTACACAAAAGGCTGAAGACTGTGGATATGGACAGCCATGCCGAGCAAAGCCCAGCCCAGCCGCAGGCCCAGGTGGAGGACGCAGATGAATTTGAGCACATTAAACAAGGCAGCAACACCTACGATGCACAGACATACGGTATGTTACAGGGAAAGCTGTTCCTTTTGCTCACTGAGGTTTCTGTGAGAGCTTATGCTTTGTGACTGTGTGCCTGCCAGATGTTAGTGCAAATTCATTAGTACATTAGTAGAGAGAGGAAGTGGTTTTTTAAACTGTAAAAAGTGTGGTTTGGTTTTGGTACAGTGGTATCCATAGCCACATAAAGATGCTCAAGGTTCTAGGTATAAGCTTTCTTTTTCGGAGACCGGGTTTTGCTCTGTCATCCAGGCTGGAGTGCAGTGGCATGATCGTAGCTCACTCAAGCCTCTGATTCCAGGGCTCAAGTGATCCTCCTGCCTCAGCCTCCTGAGTAGCTGGGACTACAGGTACACGCTACCACACTTCTTTTTTGTAGAGGTGGGGTCTCACTATGTTGCCCAGGCTGGTTTCCAGCTCCTGGCCTCAAGCAATCCTCCCACCTCAGCCTCCCCAAAGTGCTGGGATTACAGGCGTGAGCCACCATGCCCAGCCATCTGGGCTCAGTATAAGCCTTTTAAGTGTCTTTGATAACATTTGGCCACATCTAAACCAAGCGTTGATCTCAGGGTTTCTTAGTACTGGAGATTTCTTCATAGACACCTTCAGATAGATCCCTGCAATGATATGCACTGTGAACTTGAAATATGTGTTTTCCCTAAGAGTGAAAAGGGGAGGGAGGAAGTCTAAGCACAAGAAGGTGGTAAGTGGACAGTCTTCTCTTCTGGTTCTCCTGGTGACTTTTCATTGTTTCATTACTAACATGTAAAGTAGGGTTGATAATACCTATGAGGATGGCACGAAAATGATTGCTCTGCAATGGATTGCTTTTTTCTCTCTCTGTTCCCACTTGAAAAACAAAAGTAAAGCAGTAATATAATAGCTACCATTGTATTGAGCTTTTGCTGTGTGCCAAAAATTTTTCTGAGCTTTTTCTGCATGATCATGGACTTCCTCAAATAATCCTATGACCTAGGCTGTCTCCCTTCTATGGGTGAGTGCACTGAGGCCAAAGAAATTTAAGAACTCATCCAAGATCATAATGCTGGGATTCCCATCCCCTTGTTGGTCTTTCTGTGCCTTGTAGTATAGTCTTTTTAAAATTATTGACACATAAAAACTTCCAGGGTACAATGTGATATCCCAATGTATATATTCAGTATTTAACGATCAAATCAGGATAACTAGCAAACATTTATCACTCTTTGAGTTGGGGACATTAACAAATCTGCTCTTCTAGCTATTTGAAAATACACAATAAATTGTTAATTATAGTCATTCTATAATGTTATAGATCAACTCTTAATAGTTTACTCACAAGTCAGTAATGGCGGATGGTTTCCATTAGCTGCTTTGAGTCAGATGCCCAGGCGTCTATTCTGTTGTGTTTTTTCGTTTGTTTTTGTTTTTTTTTGAGACAGAGTCTCACTGTTGCCCAGGCTAGAGTGAGTGCTGTGGTGTCAGCCTAGCTCACAGCAATCTTAGTCTCCTGGGCTCAAGCAATCCTACTGCCTCAGCCTCCCGAATAGCTGGGACTACAGGCATGCGCCACTATGCCCGGCTAATTTTTTGTATGTATATTTTTAGTTGGCCAATTAATTTCTTTCTATTTTTGGTAGAGATAGGGTCTCACTCAGGCTGGTTTCAAACTCCTGACCTTGAGCGATCCACCTGCCTCAGCCTCCCAGAGTGCTAGGATTTACAGGCATGGGTCACCCCGCCCAGCCTAGGCGTTTATTCTGGATCATTTTCTGGGCATAGCAGTAAGAACCCAAACATCCTACTTCTGTGGTCACACTTCTGTAGGAGGTAGGGAGCCGGTACTTATTAGGCACAGACAGGTGTCCAGGCCACATAGGTGATCAGTGGTAGAATAAGCATTAGTAGAATTTTGGAAGCTAGAAATGACTGAAACCATAGCCCACTCATTACTTTGTTCTGCAAAGACCTAAGTTTTGTTTATGTGTATGCATTTTGTTGGCAGACGTGGCCAGCAAGGAGCAGCAACAGTCCACAAAAGACGCTGGCAAGGATCAGGAAGAGGAGGAGATGGAGGATATCCTCATGGACACAGAGGAGCAGGAGGAGCTCAAAGCAGCAGACACAGAGCAGCTGAAGCCGGAAGAGGTCAAGTCAGGCACCACAGCAACCTTCAGTGAGTCCTGGAGTAAACAGACCCTTTCTGAGTACTCAGTTCTCTTGTATTGTAGTCTACTCTGGTGTTTTGTCCCACATCCTAGTCCACGGCTTAGATGAATAATTTGCCTATAGTAATGTCACTATGTTTTATTTGGGAGCAAAAAGGTGGACAGGTATAGGGGTGGTGTTGCAGGATACCATCCATCAAGTAGACCCCTGAAACTTCAATTCCCAACAAAATCCCATTGGTCTTTTTTAAATGTGTTGAAGAAAATAGAATAGTACATTTACTGCAGCTGGGAAGAGAAGGTATATTCTTGATTATTAGAGAAATGTTTCCAGTTACCTAAAAGTATACAATATTAGCATAAAATGCAGCAAAATATTAAATAGAAGAAAATACATGTGAGAAAGCAACAAGTTTCCATTTCATAGCTAGTCAAGTTCTATTACTAGGAAGTTTATTTTTTAAAAAAACAAAAAGGACATGTATTTAAGCACATTAAAAATAACTTCATCAGCAATAGGATAAATGATGCAAGTTGAAAAGGAATTGCCAAACTCAAAAGACTTTTTCTTTTGCTTCATTCCTGTCCTCCCAGGGTTGTCTGCCCTGCTGTTACAATCCAGAGCTCTGTAGTTACTTTCCTGGATTCAAATCCAGGCTTTGCCTCTCACTCCACAGGTTGAGGCATGTTATTTATCTTTGTGTGAGTTTCCTCATCTGTAAAATGAAACTATGGTTGTTTTTTTTAAATTTTATTTTTTATTCTTTGAAAGTTCTACATGTACTTAGTTTCAAGAATTACAGAGTTTTACAAGTCCTGTTAGCATAAACTGCAGTCTCAAATATTAACATCCACCTTCACCATTGGGATGGGGAGGAGGGGAAATTAGAGAATAAGAACTGGCAATGACTCGTGGAGAAAGAATATTTGGAATCAATGTGTGGAAATGTGTTGAGGAGTGAGTGGTTTGATTGTTATTAATAAGACTGATGGGCAACAGCGAAGGCTCAGCCATTGTGGTGGTGTTATAAGTAAAACTATGTCCTTATATGAAAATAGACTCTGATGAGATGGAGACCCAAACTGTTGAAAAAGAGAAAGACCAAGACTCTAGGACAGACAAATCCCATAAAGAGACAGAAAATGAGAAACCAGAAAGAAGCCAAGAGTCAACCATTCATACAGCCCATCAGTTCCTCATGGACACCATTTTCCAGGTACTAAAACTCACAAATTACTGCTGTAAAAATTGACAAAATATAATTTGTAATTGCCTTTAAAAGTAACATCTGGTTGTTTTAGTGTATCGTGTTCTTAAAAAGTTTTTAGGTATGCTATTGGTGTGACAGGTGTTCCTTAAGCAGATGACACTGTTCCAATAGTTAATTCCAGGGTTTTAGTGACCTGTCCATAATGGCGGATCCCATTTGAGGTCTTTGGCCTCTGGCTCTCATGTCCTACTCTGCTTACCATCTTTGTGTAAGGAACCTTTAGAATGATTAGCAGTTTATGATAGTTAAGTAAAAAGAATCTTTGGTTTAATGCCTGTATGCAGGAAGAGCCATTTAACTGAGTTCCTTTCTTTAATAGTTTGGATAACTGGCAGTTTGGCTTGATCAAAGAATATTTTCATTATTGATGACTTAAGGGTTGTTTAGAATAGATTCATAAATGTTAAAAGTTTCCTTTGTCCATATTGTCTAAGATGGAAAGCAGAAGAATGGTTATCTTGCATCTTTTTATTGTGCCACTGAATTTGCTTCAATTTTGAATCTCAGGGGCATCTGACTATTTACTTTGAGGTCACACTGCAGGGAGGAAAGCAGCCAGTGGTAATAAGGTGGGGGTTCCAATGTGAGTGGGCTGCCTCTTATCTGTGTCTTTTTCTTCTTAGCCCTTTTTAAAAGATGTCAGTGAGCTAAGACAGGAGCTGGAGAGACAGCTGGAAACGTGGCAGCCACATGAATCTGGAAATCCAGAAGAAGTAAGTCACTGGATTTTTCCTAAAATGACTTGACTTTTTTTTTTTTTTTCTTTAAGATACAATAAACTTAATAGGGTCTTAGTTCCAATTACCTTTGTAAAAGGGACCAGGCATAAGGTATATATAATTAGAATCCTTAAAGCCTTAGTCTATCCATTGCTTTCTTTCTGCTTTCCCACTAGCTCTATATCTTAATTAAAATAGAAACTGGTAAGTTTAGTTCCTTTAACTTCTGTTGTATCTATTGTCCTCATCATTCCCACCACATAATATGCATTGAATGCTCTGTCGGAGTTGGCCGAAAAATTACGGGGCTTTGTGTCTAAGCACACTGCTGAATGTGTTATTTGAGGGATTTGCACTCACTTGTCACTTTTACTTTCATGATTCTGAGAACCCATGAATGAGTAGCTGGATCTGCTGGCACCACAATTACCCATTCACATCTCTCTCCCCATATGAAGGGTGCAGGTTATGCTCTCTGTACGTGATGTGAATAAGGCATTGATTTGGTCGTGAAATCTAATAATAAACTGCTTTGTTTCATTCTTTCTCACTTGGAAGTGTGGGTTATGGTTTGGTGGAAAAGGAGACATTTTTAATCACGTGAATTAGATAGCACTTTGCTGAGAGAAGCTTTAAAGTGCTTCTGTTGAGAAAGTTGATGCAGGTCATTTTCTCCCTATAACGATGTGGTTGGCTCTGACATTGTGAGGGTAACTTACATTCTGTTGTCACAGGAGAAGGCTGCAGCTGAGATGTGGCAGAGTTACCTGGTCTTAACTGCGCCTCTTTCACAACAGTTGTGTGAACAGCTGCGTCTCATATTAGAGCCTACCCAGGCAGCCAAGCTGAAGTAAGTCTTCTCCACTGGAAGCCCTCACGGTGCCCTGAAGAGATGGCAGCATCGTCAATTTTGTTGAGTTCAGCACCTAACCACTTATGGTACTGGCTTCTAGGTTGCCAGTACTTCTGCTGTGTAGGCACCAGTATGGTGTCCCTTACCCTGATTTCCTATTGTTGTCTCTACCACAAAAGTTTCTGTGCTGTTTGGTAGGAATGCAGTTTCTCTTGTTTATTACTATTTGATGCTAAAATTGGCTGAGACTTCAGGTGTGTTTGCGGCTCACCTTGCTATATATTGTGTTCCTCACTTGCTATAGGTGTTACTCATCTAGATCTTTTCAAAGATGTGTCCAAAACCATAGTTTTAGAACAGAAAAGAGTCCAAAACTTCATATTCTATGCAAGCATTTTTTCTGATTTTTCAAAATGGATCTTAGCTTTTCTGGAAGGACCTAATTATTGCCGCATACACATCCAGTTTTTCTGGCTAGTGGTCAAGAGAATCCTGGTCCTTAGTCTTCAATTGACAGTGCTTCATCGCACCACTTTCCTTGCACAGGTTATTTGGTATTGTTGGTTTTAAGATATTATTAATATGATTTTTGCCCTTAGGGAAAGTTCTGAGGAATTAGCAGTCACTAACTAATCTTTGCCCTTGTCTGGATAAATTTAATAGAGGAGACTATCGAACAGGGAAGAGACTAAACATGCGGAAGGTCATTCCGTACATTGCTAGTCAATTTCGGAAAGACAAGATTTGGCTTCGAAGGACCAAGCCCAGTAAACGCCAGTATCAGATATGTTTGGCTATCGATGACTCTTCTAGTATGGTAGACAACCACACCAAGCAGGTAAGGAATAGAAATATAGTGGCAATTTGATGGGCCATCTAAATGTTTTAAATATGATATGACAAAAAACAGTTTACCTGTTCTGAGAATATGATATCTTTGAGAAGACCTAAGGTTTAAAGAGTTCAAAAGGCAATTCAGTCTCAAATATTTTAGTCCTTTACTATTCTAAGTTGTTTAAATTGTTTGTTTCTTGAATAGAGATTCTACTGTCTAGTTGCAAAATAAGTAAATCTGACAATATTTATTTTCTAGAAAATGGAACAATGTGGTTTCTTCCCCCCCCCTTTTTTTTTTTTTGTTTTTTACTTTTTTGAGACAGTCTTGCTCTGTCACCTAGCCTGGAGTTCAGTGGCCTCATCATAGCTCACTGCAACCTCGAACTCTTGGGCTTAAGCAATTCTCCTGCCCTTAGCCTCCCAAGTGGCTATAGGCACACACTACCAAGCCTGGCTAATATTCGTATTTTTTTGTAGGTCTGGCTCTTTCTCAGGCTGTTGTCAAACTCTTGGCCTCAGCCTCCCCAAAGTGCTAGGATTACAGGCGTGAGCCACCATACCCCACCTACAATGTACTCTTAACCACTTTGGTATGGCGCTCATCAGCTGCAAAACCTTGCCCACACCGGCAGTCATAGTCCACACGATAGTTTGTGCTGTGCGTTGATGATGAATCCGTTTTCTCTTGTGTGATGAGGAAAGCTTTAAAGCACTGAAAGCTTGTTTTACTTTATAGGCAGCTTTATTTGTAATGTAATTCAGAATAGGTAACATATACATATGTTTTTCTTTGTTTTGTTTTGTATTTTTTTTTTTTTGAGACACAGTCTCACTTTGTTGCCCAGGCTAGAGTGAGTGCCGTGGCGTCAGCCTAGCTCACAGCAACCTCAAACTCCTGGGCTGAAGCAATCCTGCTGCCTCAGCCTCCCAAGTAGCTGGGACTACAGGCATGCGCCACCATTCCCGGCTAATTTTTTCTCTATATATTAGTTGGCCAATTACTTTCTTTCTATTTATAGTAGAGACGGGGTCTGCTCAGGCTGGTTTCAAACTCCTGAATTCAAACGATCCGCCCGCCTCGGCCTCCCAGAGAGTTATGTTTTTATTATGTTATTTTTAAATGTTCACAATTTTATTTTGATAAATGAAAAATTAGAAAAGTCATATCATCAGCTGTCGGCTAAAGTTGCTGTGCATGTTCATGTGTGGCTACCGAATACAGTCGATGCTCAACTGTGCACATTCATCTGTGGTATCTACTATAGTCAACGCTCATACCAAAGTGGTTAAACTATTAAGACTATGCACAACACAGTTACATCCAAAACCTTCGATTTTTATTTTTTTTCTAAATGTATTCGGGATACATGTAAGTCTGAAATTATCCAGAGTCAGTCTTCCATCAATTTTAACAATGTTTAGGAGCCTGAATAGGATTACTTACAATATCATCATTATATACACTGAAGAGTGTGTGTTTTTTGCAGTGATGCCATTATACAGCATGAACTAATGAGTGACCTAAAATGTGTATGTTCTGCTGGAATTAGAGTGTAACTTCTGAACATGGGATTATATCCCAGCTCACTTACTACCATGATTTGGGGTAATTTAAGTGTCAGTTTCATCTTCTGAAAAATAAGGACTATAATAATACAACTTTCATATAAATATATATATACACACATATATATACTTCTTACAATAATTATAACCTCATACTCAGAATTGTTATGAAGATTAAATGAAATAATATATTTAGAACATTCAATTTGGTGTTTTTTAGATGAGTTTAAATTCTAAAACTATGCTGTCATTTATGCAAGTGGTAATGACATTTTCTAGTACAGTTCTACAGTGTAATTTTACTACATATTGTTTTAAATTGATTTTTTAAATTTCTTTCCATAAGAGATTACCTTTTATGTAGACAAAAAAAAAAGGAAAGAAAAATTTAAATTTATGAACCATATTTCTTAAGGTCACTTTTACTAATGTTGTCTAGAGCAGACTATTCCTACTAGTGTGATGGATTTTAGGTTTCAACATTTGTGGCTGCTAAAGCCTCTGGATTGGTTGTGAACTATAATAGCCTTACTGATGTTGTTCTCCTGTGTGCCATAGAAAACATAACTTTCTGTTTCACAGCTTGCGTTTGAATCTTTGGCTGTGATTGGAAATGCACTAACCCTCCTGGAAGTAGGTCAGATTGCAGTGTGCAGGTAAGTCCTTTTAGTACCCATTGGGAAAGCTGTTTTCACAACTTATTTTGATCACATGAAAATAACTTGTTTTGTATTTGGTTTTTCTCCTCCAAGTTTTGGAGAGTGTGTAAAGCTGTTACACCCCTTCCATGAGCAGTTCAGTGATTACTCAGGGTGCCAGATTCTACGGCTCTGCACATTCCAACAAAAGAAAACCAAGATTGCTCAGGTATGTAGATGAAATCAAATGTCTTCTGTACAGTTATTCTTAAGCTGATATAGGAGAGAAAAATTTTTTTGAACTCTCCCTCCCCCAAAATGGTATGGACAGATAAAGTTTACAATAAAGAATAGTCCTAAATTTTAGCCTGTGTACTACTAGAATAGAAGCTTACTTGGTATCCATTATAAAACAAGGTGTAGACTTCTTTTTCTCAGTTCCTCAAAGATCATTTGACTTTGCATCATTGGTTTTCTGGCTCCCTGTTTTTTCTAAGCCTTTGGAACATTTTACAAAAACAAACCCACCTTCCAGTATCCTTATCAGATGAGCCAAGCCCTATTTCTTTCCCTTATTTAGCCTAGAGAAGAAATGATGTAAAAATAAAGCCAGTGACTTGCTCAGGATGATATAACAAATTAAAAAAGAGGATAAGACATGTCTCCTGGTTCCTGCTGTAAATACAATCTCTTTAGTTTGCATTGGACATTTTATGTTTTCTTGCCTCTCTTTTGCTCAGTTATTTTCTTGAAATAAGCAGATGTTTGGTTTATTTGAGGGGGTTATTGGCTTCTTATCTCCCATGGGGGGTATTTCTTTTTCTTTGTGGTATCTTCTAGAACTCTAGTGGGATGTATACCAGAGACACGTTTCATCTCTGCTTGAGAATGCCCGTACTCAAGGGTAAATGCCATGTAATGCAAGGATCCTTCTTCCTGTACTACAGGTGGCCAGAAGGGATAGTTGATGGCCTATAAACCTGAGGTGGTTATCTTATAATAATCACTTCAGTGTCAGAAGTAATTTCAGACCCTTTGACATGGGAAGAAAGTTTAAATAGTTTTCTAATTGTCTGGTTCTGGTTCTGGTTTAGTTTCTAGAGTCTGTTGCCAACATGTTTGTTGCTGCACAGCAGTTCTCACAAAACATCAGTCCAGGTGAGCCACATTCTTTCATGTATTAACAAAATGCTTTCCTATTTTCTATATTTAAAAGCTGCTTGCTTCATCTCACTGTACCTGTCACCATGTTGTAAAATGTATGCTCTACAGGAAAAGATACAATCATTTTATAAATAATAGCCATAGACAAGCGTTTTAATTCTCTCATACAGTATACTGCTCTACAAGTGAAGTTGATCTAAATTTGACATTTCCTAAAGCTCTATAGGGAAATTGTGCTATATTGACAGAAACTTATTATGTCTCGTCTTTGACTCAGGCATCCTAAGTAATCAGTCTAATCAGAGGTTCCTTTTGTGTCCAAAAAGCATCAGTTTCAGATCTGTTTAGTTTTAATAGCACAGAGAAAGCTTACATTACATTTGACCTACTTTAGGTAGTTTTGAGTTGTTAAAAATGTATTTTCGGCTGTGTGCGTTGGTTCACACCCAAAATAATAGCACTTTCAGAGGCCAAAGGAGGATCACTTGAGGCCAGGAGTTTGAGACCAGCCTAAGCAGGATCAAGGCCTCGTCTCTACAAAAAATAGAGAAATTAGCCAGGCATGGTGGCACATGCCTATAGGAGGCTGAGGCAGGGGGACTGCTTGAGCCCGGGAGTTTGAGGTTGCAGTGAGCTATGATGGCAACACTACACTCTAGCCTGGGTGACAGAGCCAGACTCTGTCTCAAAAAAAAAAAAAATATTTTTATTCCTTTCTTTCTCTCATATGTTCTGCAGAAACTGCACAACTCCTCCTCATAGTCTCTGATGGACGAGGCCTTTTCCTTGAGGGCAAAGAAAGAGTCCTGGCAGCAGTACAGGCTGC